AAATTATGTATATATTAGGTTAAAGATCAAGAACATAAATTTTAACTGTCATTCCTCAAAAAAGTATTGACGGTAAATGAACTGTGAATAGTAGATCTATGGCTACACGAAAATGTGCTGATAAATTGGGAGCTATGTTTAGTTAGTTCTTACTTATTAATATCATTGTGAGCTATGTTTAATATCATTCAAATTCAACCAAATTACAAGAAAACCCAACAAAGTTTGAGAATTACATATATCCCCCTTTTGTTTTGTGCCGCCTTCAATGTTTACCCCCGTCATAAGCAAAAAGACATTTTGACTCATCAATTTGAACATCGAATCAAACCTCGAGGGTAATTTCTTGCAGTTAGATCGAGGGTAGTTTTTTGTGCTATTATCTCTTTACATATAACATCAAAGCTGATGATTTTTTTTTTTTTTTCAGGCTGATAATTTGCGGCAACAAACTCTTCAACAAATGCACCGTATACTAACAACTCGCCAGTCGGCTCGTGCGGTCCTTGCCATCAACGACTACTTTTCTCGCCTCCGAGCCCTTAGCTCACTTTGGTTGGCTCGCCCTCGTGAGTAATGACGCGTTTTTTTCATTATACGTGTATTCTTAGGTTTGGGGATATGAATATGGTGGGGAAAAATCTTGCTTTGAGAGATGATGAGATGATATACATATTTGGCAGAGTTTTGTTGTTTACAGTTAAAGTTTCGAAACAGAAGTTCAAGCTGAGAAGAGGAGTCAAATGGAACCATCTCAATGTAGTTGTTGTAATACTTATTGTACCTATGACAAATTTGTAAAATTTTTCCATTGTTGTTGTGTAACCTATAGTGGCTTTTAAGTTATAAGTTACAACTGATGTTTTTACAGTCCTAGTTAGCTTAACTTACTGGAGATATTTTTCTTCTTCTCAATTTTCTTTTAACAATTTTATGCCATTGCTTTGCGAATTTGTTACAGGTGATTACTTTGCCCTTTCATACAAGCATTTTCATCCCAACGGCCGTTAAAAGAAGTGCAATTACAATGACCCTTCATGTGGACAAGCTACATTAAATAATAATAATAATTAAAAAAAAAAACTTTTCCAATGAGCAATAGCATTGGCAATATGGGTTTGCATTCCTGCCCACTGGGAACAGTCGAAGCCACCTATAATGAAAATTTATCGACAGGCGTTTAAAATCGAACGATGGTATTAAAGCACCAAAAAATACATACTATCCAGAAGAGAAAAAGGTAACAAATGTAAACATGTGTGTAATCACTGATGCTGATTTGCCAAATTTCGTGTTTTTTTGTATTAATGTTCCAAGACTTTGATCTTCTCAAGGCAGTTTTGCATCTGCTGGTGAGTGCCAGACGAGATGCGATCCCCAGCTAATAGTTTGTACTGTTCGAATTTCGACTCGTCACACTTCAATGCAGCATTTCTGCAGGCCCTAATACTACCTGAAAGAGATTCGAGTTCGGAAAAAGAAAATATATTTTCATGTGAGATATAGTTCAAATAAAAATAGTGACTTAATATCAACAACAGTTATGTGTCATTTTCAGCAACGAGAAACAAAAGATTTATTAGCCATAACCATAAGATTTTAGCAATATGAAAAAATTAATCATATGAAAAAAGGTTTTACCGGATGATTTGATTTCTTCACAATGCTCAACTAACAAGAAGCAACAATATCCGTTCTTACAATGAAGCAACCTTACTACTAGGGCTAAAGCAAATTCCCGAAAGATCAAGTTTTTACTTTTAGTAGTATAAATGAGTACGTACACATTTTCTATGTACATGAAATGAAACAAAGACACATATAACAATATGAGCCAACTTACTATAATTGTCCTTAGAAGGAACCAGCATTGTAAGCATGAATGAAAGATAATCAGACACAAGCCCCAGTATTTGTTGTTGCTTATCTATGTAATAATAAGAAAAAAACAACCTTACCACTTAGGCTAAAGCCAATTCCCGAAAGATTGAGTTTTTAGTAATATACATGAGTACATGCACATTTTCTATGTACGTCAGTACGTGCAATAAAACAGACACACATATAACAATATGAGCCAACTTACTATAAATATCCTTACAAGGATATCAGCATTGTAAGCATGAATGGAAGATAATCAGACTGAAACCAGTATTTTTTGTTGCTTGTCTATGTAATCAAGAATTAGAGCTTATGGAAATTTGGGATTTCAGTCTGACTGAAAGGTTAAGGGGGTGCTTGTTACAAAATATTTCATTCACATTTAATCCATACTCAAAATCTAACTCAACTTTAACTTGAACCCACTATCCTTAATATTATTAATCAATCATTCTTACACATCACATCAACTTAAAACACTATTCATCGAATCACATAATTTTAACTAATCATCACTTCACATAATCTTTCTCCTATTTTTACATCAAATCAACTTTAATTATTTTATTTTAAATATTATCTTAATATAAACTCAAAATTGTACTAACAACTAATCATACAACATTTTTCAAAATTAACTCTAGTTAACCAAAAAAACTCATTTTGAGCGGATTAATTTGTAAACAAGCACACCGTAAGCTTCTTTTTAAGTCTATACCAAAGAAATGTAATAATCAACGAAAAGGCCATGTTATATGACTTACCACTTAGGTCAAGAAGATTGAAAACGACCGGGCAAGTTCCGATGCTCTTAACCATAGTAATTGCAGCCCACACTTTCTGGTAATCCTCTCTTGAAGTCCTAAAAATGCAGACCTTTGTAATTGGGTTCACATACTTCACTGCAAGAAAAGGATTTCCAGAGCTCAAAGATGAGGAGCCATAAAGGTTCATTATGCCTATGCCAGTTATTACAAGGTAAATAGATACAGAAAAAAGCAATGTAATTAATCCCAACCTTGAAATGAACTCATACATGAGGCCAGACCACATTCGCCGAAATTCGTTAAAATGCTATCTTTCACCGCTTTTGATAAATTGAACTGGGTGATTATAATGGGGTCATCGATCGAGAAATCCTTACTCGGATCCAGAAAAACTTCCATCACCATGTACCTATTCTTAAACCCTACCATTGTGTTTCTCCTTCAAGCAACAAACTCAAGTTTTAAAAGTTAAGATTTCACATATGAAGCAGGGAAGCTTCACAAATCGTCAAAATGGCATCCTACAATCCGATAGAAGCAAATATGATGAACCGAAAAAAGCACAAAATCGTCTATAACTGGCATCGAAAGAACAAAATGCAATTCCTAGGCAGGGCCACAAAATAAGCTAAAACTTGCATTGAGCTCCCGAAAAATCAATTATTTTGGGTAAATGTCAGCTATTAAGCAAATTACATGACAATTAAGCAAACAAGAAAACCTCAGAAGCTGATCGAACATCAAATCAAACCAAACTCGTTTCTGTAAACGAGTAGTCATACGGCACTTGCATTTTTTCGCAGCATTCATCACCGGATTTCCTAAAATATTCAAATACTTACAGAGATTGAAGAAACAGCAACTTTATTCGCTACAGTACAACAATCGATGAACAATCCATTGTAAAGTAAACATACCTAGCTCAAAAATCAAGCAAAACAAAAGCTTCGTTATGATGAGGATTTGGACGCCGCCCCTTCCGCAGATCGGATATCGGGCTTCTTCGGCTCGACGGCGAGGACGATGAAGAGAATTCGGCGGCGGCGGCGCAGAGAAGGAGATGGCGTATGGTACTGGTGGTAGTCGTGGTGGCCGTTCAGCGTCGGAGGTGGAGGAAGGGGCGACAGCGATGGGGATTGTACAGGAGCAATCAGTAGTTGTACGTAGCCGCTGGTGTACTCGACTCACCGGCGATGGCGAGTTTGAGCTTTGGATAAACGGTTTATTTATTGATGAGCCGTACCAGGCCCTATAAGGTAGTGTCCACAAAACGATATTATTAGGCCTAGCTAAAAAGCCCATAATGTCTAATGAGTTCTTTCTAGTAATAGTCCAATAAGAAGGCCCAGACAATCTGGCAGATGGGCTCAAAAGTCTTTAACCTAACGGTTAAAGTCAACGACTCCACTTACACGAGTATCGAGACGTGTAATAGTTGCGTATCACAAGGAACGCACATTATTTGTTTTATAGTGAACTTGAAACTACACTTTTACCCCTTGACTTGGTAAAATTTGTGTTATTTTCTTCCCCAATGTAAATGGTAATAAAGCAACTACCTTTTTTCTTAACTAACATTTTACGNGTTTATTTATTTAATTTATATTTTTTTATATTAAAATATATCTGATTTATAGAATAGGCTTAAGTTAAATTCCGCTTTAAATGATTATTTTTATAAAATAATCATTTTTGGATGGCCAACATACTAGTTTTTTTAAGTAGCATTCTAGAAAAATCATTATTGTTTTGACTAATTTATCAATTATTTTTATTATTTTCTCAGTTGATTTTTCATTCGTTGGTAATTATCAGTTCAAAATTAATTTATTTTAAGAGTAATGAACAATTTATCAGCTGCTAACATAAAGAATTGATTGTGAAGAAATCCAATTTCCCTTATAATAAGTTAGTTTTATATTCTATTTTCATACAACTAACCCAATATTGCATTATATATTAAATCAAAGGAATAAGAATTGTTAACTTTAGACACTACCATTCAAATTTCAAACAATCATGTCATAAGGGCAAATAAGGAAAGCTATTATCACAAAATTCATGGGTAGAAAAGAAAGTACCAAAACAAGAGGGACACGAACACAAATACAATATACTCGAGGAGCTGAATTTAAATTTCACCCGTGTTCGCGAGAAATTATTAATTTCATTTTATCCAAAACTATGTTACAAGTACATTTACAAGAGAATCGGATCTTTTTTTGTTTTTTTCCTATAAATACCCCCACCTTCCTCGCTCAATTTGTCCCTTTCTTTTTTATTATTTCTGTAATTGCTCTGTGTGTGTGTGTGCGTGTGTGTGAGAGAGAGAGACAGAGAGAGGGAGGAGAGGAGCTGGTGCTGGTGCTGTTTGGGCTCATCTCACTGTGTAAGTTTCTGAGTTCTTTGCATTTTTGGAGTAGTATTTAAATTAATTTTGGGAGACAGATGTTTGTGCTATGTGTAATGTGTGTAACTTCATGGAGGATCTTTAGCTGTTAAATTATGTTGAAATGCTGATTTTTACGTTAGATCCGTCTATTATTGTTGTTGTCGGAAAGATTCTTTTAATTTTGGTTTTAGCGAGTTAGATTTTGAAAATTGAGCTGCAGTACGGAATTAAATGAATGAATTGAAGATTACATGACCTTAAGAAGCATATATGGATTGTACCTTAGAGCTGTTAGAATCAACTGTCGGTCAGATTTAGTGAATGTATTGACGGTATGATTTTGCAGATCCTTTGTTTGAATAAATGTCTCCACTTTTTTTCACACAGAGTGAAAATTTATTACAGGAGCCAGAAATTATATGAACAGAGGCTCTTCAAATTTAGTACTGTTGAAAGTATGATGCATTACTGTTTTGGGGTGATGATAAAAAGCTGCTAATATTGATTAGTACATGCTGAGCTATGAAATATTATCACCTGTGGGGATATCATATGAGCTTGTTACGCCCCTTGAGCATCTTGTTACTATCAACAAACTTTCTCCTGATTTAGTATTATCCGATTTGTGTGATGAGTAAATAGGATTTGTGGTGAAAGCCGAAAAAATGCTAGTAGTGTAGTAATTTTTTCATCTAAAAAAGTTGTATCTTTGTACCGAGGAAGTAGTTTGCTTCATCATTTGAACCAAGAATATATTCTCCTGAACCGAAAATAATCCATAGCTTCTCAGCTTTGAATTTCATACCCTTTAAGCTTAAGTAATCATCCTCTTGTTTTGGGTCTGCAGAACATTTGTGTCCACGAGTTGCAAAACGTGACGGATTACTGTGAAGATTTAACTCTCTACATTTTACTGAAACAGAAACAAATGGAGGTATTTGGAAAATCTATGGTAGCTGGCCCTACCAATGTTATTTACCTGTCTAGTATTCTGGGCCAGGATGGGCCCAAGCCCATCCACAAGTGTGACTGGAAATGTCAAAACGAACACGTGTGTGGCAATATGTACCGATGCAGGCTAACTGGGCTGACCCACGTTTGTGACAAAAACTGCAACCAGAGAATCTTGTATGACAACCATAGCTCCCTTTGCCGAGTGAGCAAACAGATTTTTCCTCTGACTTTGGTGGAGCAGCAGGCTGTGAAGGGTGTTCGGAGAAAGCTCGACTCGGAGGGTGGGCCCACAGAGAGCTGTGGCTTCAAGCGGAGGAGGGACACTCAGCTTCACCGCCCATCGCCTTTTGAGAGGTCGTTTAATGCTGTGGGACCCATTTGCAGCCCGGTTGGCGATGTTATGGATACGAACTAGAGAGTTACATAATTTGCTAATTTCAACATGTCCTTTTGTCCCTTCTCCCTTGATCTTCTTTCTTGCCTAGGATGAATTTGGGCTATGTAGGAAAAAAAAAGAACTCTACTATTGTCTTTCTGTTGTGGCTCTACTGATTTGACAAGACTCGTAACTCGTAGGATTTTTATAATGCTATGTTCTATGGACTTATTGAGAAACTCGAGCTAGTACGCTATTAAGGCAAGGCTATGTTAGAATGCCTTGTTTATCTATTTTACGGTGCACTACTAATTGCTATACTGTCATACGCTGTTATCTATAATTATGACTTAAGCACCTCGACTGTGACACAGAAGCATCCTTCTGAGTCTTTTGGTGGAAATGTATAAATATTTCATTCATGGTGAATCTTGGGTGTACTGTTTGGTTCCTTTGTTCTTCAGGTTTGGAGGAGCTGCCATATTATCTGGTGAAATTTGTACCGGCTGACATTTTTTAGTTTGGTTGACATTTTTTAGTTTATTATGTTTGTGATGCAGGGAAGGAGGAAGATCTTATTTCATTTTGTTTTTGGATTTGCTTCATTTCCTTTTAAATTTTTCCTCGCGTTCTGGTTTCTGTAGAACTCTGATGCTAAAGTGGCTTTTCTTTTTTGCAGGAGCTGAAGCATATTCCATTTGGGAGATTTGTTTTAAAACATTGTTTGTCGTACAAATAAATTATACAATAGCAGTAATTTGCTTTCGGTTTTTGTGAAGCTTTTAAATTTAATTTTCTATTTTTATTTATGCAGGAAAATAGCAGGTTAGCAGCTGCCCGAGAATGCGCCTCATCTACTTGACAATGACAAAATTCACCCGAGAAACTAACAGTAAACTGTAAAGGATCATCTTCACTTCCCATTTTGTCATTTTCTTCTTTGTGACAATGTATTGAGGAATGTGTGTTCGTCATGCATGCATCATCTACTTGACGGTGAAGATAGTCTTTTCTCAATGGCCATAAAGATTTATTTCTAGTTTCGACTTTTCCATCATTTAACCGTGAAAGGCGTATATCCAGAACATGCTAGCCCTGTAGCCCAGAAATCAAGAATGTGGAGATCATCCGAGCAACATTTTTCTGGGGAATCCTGTGATCTTTTTTAAAGAAAGGGAAATTATCATTCAGATCAAAGAGCTGGATAAGGTTCATAGGGATTCAGACTTGTTGTAAAGATAAGTTTAATTCTTTGTATTTGATCCTCTGTTTTGCAGACCAGAAACAGTGTTAAGTGCCCAGAAATTCTTGTTTCATGATGTAACACATTAATTAATGATGATGATGTCTTTCTTATTATATAATTTTTTTATTGTATCTTAATATATATTCTGCATGTGCTGGAGTTAAAGTGTTGCTGTCCTTAATTCAGATGACCGTTATGGGCTCCCGTGATTTAAGTCAAAAATAACAGAAAAAATGAGCAGAGCATATTTCTTCTTGTTTTTTTCCTTCTTTTCCTTGTTTTACTTAAGGATAAGATTTTATATTTCAAAATCATATTTCAATCTTATTTTGAATGATTGATACATGTATAATAGAATGCGAACTGAAATACTAATCTATCATTATATAAAAAGAATAACTTTTTAACACATTTAGAAATATTTTTCCGCCAAAATTATTAAATATATTCTATATATAGTAATTGTTGGACAAATTTGAATAGGCAAAAAAATCGGCTCATTAATTGTGTAAAGATTTGTTTCTCTTTTTTTCTTTTTTTAATTTATCAAAATCATTGTTTGACAATAAATATTTGTTTTTCTTTTTCCTATTTTTAGTATAAATCTACACGAGTTACAAAATCCTATTGCTTATCTCTTCTGTTACAAAATCACATTGTATGCGTCTCACGTGTTTTAAAAATCTCATCCATTATCTATACAGATTTGAAAAAATAAAATAAAATAGAAACCAATTCATAATTACTACTATAAATCTATTATCTTTAAAAAAAAATAAAAAATAAAATAGAAATCAATTCATAATTACTACTACTAATATTTTTATAAATATTATAAGCTAACCATACAAAAAAGTATAATAATAATTGTGAAATGGTATGTAATCAAATTTTTTTATATTCCCTTATACAAAATAATTTTACATTGTTTGACCCCGAATCTTTAATTTATAATTATTAAGTATTGTTTATCCTCCTCTTTAATTTATAATTATTTTTTTTCTTCCTCTTTTTAAATATGATCAATAGTAGTTTCCACTTCCGCCATTGAGTGACTCAAACTCGATATCTATTTATAATATTGTTAATTTAATATTGTTGCCGTGCATCGCACAGGATACATACTAGTATAAAATAACAGCCTGAGTTGTTTTTATTTTTATTTTATTTATTTTTAATTAAAAATACTGGTCGGGCTGGATAAATGAACCTGCCCTTAGATTTAGCTGGGCCGATTCTGGGTCCAGTTGTTTAGGCCCGGCGACCCACCACTCCGGGCCGGGTCGTGAGTCGGCCCGCCTGATTGCCACCTCTTTGTCTGTCGAACTAACATGAGCTTGAGTTCATGTTTGAGTCCTCATAAGACTAGGCTGGGCTCAACAATTATGTGCTTGAGCTCATGTTTTGCAGTCCTCATTAGACTAGGCTATAGGCCCTAAATTACATAAGGGGCGATTGTATACAATTTATACAGTAAAAAATCAATCAAAACTCAAATTTAACTCAGCTTTAACTCAATTCCACTATCTCCAATATTATTAATATAATTAAATAATATCAACCAATCATTTTTATACATCACATCAACTCTAATTCACTATTCATCTACTCACATAATTTTAACTAACTATCACTTCCAATCATTTTCTCCTACTTTTACATCAAATCAATTTTAATTATTTTATTTTAAATATTATTTTAATATATCCACTAACAACTACCCATACCACCTTTTTTCAAACTTAATTATAGTTAAAAAATAACCAGTTTTTTACTAGTTGAATTAATATCCCATAAAAACTCAATAGTGGAACTAAATGGACAAGACACAAAAATATACAACAATCCCAACACTAAAACCAAACAATTNTCATGCAACATATGCCCCCAAAAAAAATTAGGGGAAAAAAGCGAAACCAAAAAAAAAACCCCTTAAAATCAACACACAAAATTCACCGCACTAAAAATATTGTCATTGAGAATCGGTGCTTGAAAACGAGGAGCTCCTCTGCATCAGCATCTCCTTAGCGCCGGCGAGCTGCCCCATGAGCTCCTCAATTCGGGCCCTATACTCCCGGGCCCGGCCAACGGCCTCCGCCTCCAGCTCCCCCAGCTGGCAGCACAGCCGCTCCTCCGCCTCCTCCGCCACCGTCAGCCGCGCCAGGGCCCTCCTTAGTTCGCTCCTCATCCTCTCCTCCCTCGCCAGACTGTCCCTCAGCTCCCTCTCCAGATCCTCGTTCCTCCGCCGCAGCGCCTCCTCGCCGCCCTTCGTCTGCGCCGCCGCCGCGCCGGAAAACGGAATAGCGATGGTTGGGGCCATCGGAAAATTGGAGAAAAAGATGTATTGACAAAAAAAGGACAAGAAATGTTTTTGTGAATGCGAGGTGTTTGTTGAAAGTGCAGACGAGTGTGTGAGGTTTTATAGGCAAGGGATTAGGACTGTCCAGGTTCAATGTATCTGCTCCTCCTACTTTTCTGTGCACCCTGTGCTTGATATTTTTATTTTTATTTTAATTTATTTATTCATTTTAATTTTTGATGTTGCATTTTGGCCTTTGGGTGTTAAGCTTTACCAATCATAACTAGTATAAGTCTCGTGCAATGCATGGTTAAGAGATATTTATTAATATTTATAGTTAAAAATTTTAATTAAATTTTACCAAAAAAAAAAAAAATTATTAAATAATATAAATTTAAAATATGGAATCAATATGTAATACAATTTACTTATATTAATTTATTGAAGTGTTATATAAAGTCTAAATTGTGCAAAATTACATAAAAATGTCTATTTAAAATTAGTATACAACCCGTGTGGTACACATAACTGATAATAAATTACATTATATTCGTTTCAAAATAAGTACCATTCCAAAATTTTGATTTAGAAAATCGATTTGACTATATGTGATTCCATAAAATAGTTATTTTGGTAAAATGTTATCATATATTTAACAGTCTGTGTGAATAATAAATATAAATATAAAATTTATATTGTTTCATTACTTCAAATAATTTATTGTTGTATAAACTATTAAAATAAAAAAAATTAAGTAGTTGAGTAATTTATTAAATTATAAATAATTGATTATTTCGTTTACGTCCAAGTTAATATTGACCCGTAAGTTATATAATTGACTATTTTGTTTACGTCCAAGTAAATATTGACCCGTGAGTTATGAATAATTATTTTTTATTTTTAAATTTAAATAAAAATCTTTTTATTTTTTTGTAATATATTATATACTAAATTTGAACCATGTAACTAATAAAGCTAATAGCTGCAAGTTTTGTCAATATATTATATTCCAAATTTAAATCATGCAACTAATAATGACAATAGCCGCAATATCTGACCAAAATGATTCTGTACATTAATTTAGGCGGAATTTTTTCAAATTTTGACAAAAAAATATTACTCAAATAGTTTAGGCGGGAAACCAAATGTTATTTTACCTCTTTTTAATAAAAAGAGATTTAGATTAAATTAAGTTTATATGTGTGGAGTGAAAAACAATAAACATAAGTAAAAAGATCTCTATATGATTTGTATGATGGTGAACTGTTGGCTTTTTATTTATATGTATATAAAAAGATGTACATTCTAAATAATTAAGTTTAGTTATCGCGAAGTCCTTTTCATCGTGTTTAGGGTAGATTTATTATATTTATATGGATAATATATCCAGCATAATTGTATTTTTAAAGATAATAAATCGATGAAAACATAATATGGAATATATACCTTTATCATTAGTCTCGACCAATTTGATTACTTTATCTGTATAACTTTGAAATGAACTCTTTACAATGTATTTGTTTTTTTAATTATTATTTAAGTTGTATATATTGCATAACTATATTTTAAAAAAATAATATTTTTCTATTGAAATATGCGATTTATATATATGTATATAAAAACTTATAAATTAATTTTTCAATAAAGATTAAATTTTGTATTTTTATTTTTTATTATAGCATTCCCATTTAAAAAATTGTTACCATGATTAGTGTAAAAAGTTTAACAAAATAATTGTCAAGTGTAAAAAGATTAATAAAAATATAAGGTTTTCATGATAATGGATTTGTATATATCTAAATCATCTTCTCCTGCAATACCACAACATCCGTCCGCAGAAACGTGTTCATAAGAGAAGAATTAACTCAAAAACTGAATTTAACTAAATAAATTACAAACTCATTTCTTTTTTTCACGGCTAATTATCTTAAACAATCACTCATTTGATGGATGATACCATAATTTAAACTCAGCTTGATTACCTAAAAAACAAGAAATAAAAAACAGATCGGTAGACATATGAAAATGTGATTTGTAGATAGGTGAGTTTAGTCAAACAAAATCTTATATATATATATNTCTAAATCCCAAAAAAACTGAAAACGTGCATGCGTGGAATAAAAACAATTCAAATACCTGGATGAAAAAATTTCAAATTAAACTTTAGGGGAGAAAACAGCTTTTAAGCAGGAAATTGAAATATTTTTTCAAACATTTTTTCTTCTCTGTATTTTATAGTAATAGATCCCAAATAAGGTTTCTGAGACTGACTTTATTTTAAATAATTGAATTAGGTGAATTGGCAATTTTGTTACTAGTTTGATCACTAATTAGATTTTTGCAACTGTTTTGGTATTTAACAATTGTGAAATTAGGTGAATTGGCAAGTTTGTTAGTTTGATCACAACTTTTTTTTAAATGAATTAACTTATTTAGTTGATTCGTCATTTTTTTAAATGAATATTTATGCCATTAAATATGATGCTTTAGTTTATCTTATTTGTTAAAGCATGATATTTTAAGTCAAAACAGTTCAATTGAAATTTTGAAGGAACGTTATTCCGTACACATAATATATCTATCAAAGAATTAAGTGTGTGGACTCTGGTAACTCTTTGGTCTAAATCACAACAAAGTGGTCCTGATTTTTTGGGACAACTTTCATTATCATACTCGTATTATTTATTTAAGACGTTAAACCTTATTTTACAATTACCAATCATATTATTTAATAAATATGAATAAAAATTTGGTGATTTGAAATGTATGGTCGTCCACACCAAGACTACAAATAAGTCGAGTAAAGTCGAGTTTGAATCTTACTGAGTGCAAATCAAACTTAATTCATTAGTGCTCGAGCTTGAGCTCGACGAGTTATAAACTGGTGCTCAACTCGAGTCATTAAAGAAATAAATTTCTCGAACCCGACATGGCTCAAGTTCGGGCTCACAATTTTAACAATTAAACTTTAAATGCAAAAGTACTATTTTTAATTTAAATAAATTTTTTTGACCTTGGTGTTCTAATATTGAAATTAAACCGTATGGGGTATTTATGTAAATGAAAAAGTTGAATGCGCCTCTTGAAATGATGCTCGAGACTCGATTAATTTACTTGGTTGAGCTGCTCAAGCTCGAGTCGAGCATTGACTCGAGCGCACGAGCTGCTAGACCCATTTGTAACCTTAGTCCACACATAGCGAAGCTCAGTGAGCACACAATTGAATTTCCAATAGAAGATAAAATATTGTACATTATTAAAGTTAGATATTTGGATTCTAAAATGACATTTGTGTTCAATTAAAACGAACCTAAATAAACTTTAGTTATACAAGTATCATATACTATGTTAGAAAAAAAAAATAAAATGTGTATATGATTGAATATAAGATTATCTCTAATTTAATATATACATAGATGTATATATAATAAAGGATAAAACACTATATTCAACGTGTGATGTACATGTTTTTTTTTATTTTGCGACTTATATACCTTATAAAAAATTACATTTAATATTGTGCAAAGTAAAATGTAACTTGAACTTTATGAATATTCATAATTTGCAATTTATACTTCATACACGTGTCTGATCAATATGTAGACGATGTATCAAATTATGATTTTTACAAAGTTCAAAGTATTTTACCATAAAAAATATTGTAGATTGCAAAGTTTAAAAGTACGTAAATTATATACTTACAAAAAATTTCCAGTAATTAAATATATAAAACAATATGATCTAATAATACAATATTACGCTCATACACTTCATATTTCTTATATATGGGTGCATGTAGTGGACATATTCATAATTGTTAAATTAAAGAAGATGTCCATGAGCTTGTCTCATTAAGACTCGGACTTGATTCATCAATTCGAGCTCGTTCAGTTAAAGGCTCAGTCCATTAAATTTTAAAAAATACAAATTTTTATATAATTCTATGCAGCTCGACTTGTTAAGACTCAAATTTGTCTTATTAATAAATGAGTCGTGCTCGTCTATCTTCTCGTTTGATTGACGACTCCAATTCAACTCAACTCGATAAACCCAAACTTGAGTATGGATAGATTGAATTCGAATAGGCTCATTTATACCTTGGCACAGTGAAATGGATTGAGCGAGTATCAAATATCAACTGATGCATTATGAAACATGACCAACTGTCCAAAAATCTTTGACATATTCTCCACTACAATTGAGGCCCATAACCAATTTATCAACATTACAATCGTCATTAGTGGGCCAAGTAAATATAGATACAGATCCATACCTCTCACATCAAAAGCCCATTTCATGGTTCCTGAAAGTCTGAAGTAACAAAAGCCATGGAAAACATTAGGTAATGGATGTGATTTGTGACGAATCTCAATTAAAGCGGTACCCAAGTCACATAAAAGCCTGCGCAGTTTCCCGCTCACTACACACATTACATCTCGTAACCCAAATGAACAGAGAACAAACAAATGATTTTATAATGTCGAAGCTCAGCAATGGCGATTTCCGTCCGACTGCTTGTTTCAGAGGCTTCCATCAACGGCGAGTCTAGCATTCACGGCGAGGCTTGCACCAACGGCACGACATTGTAAATTGTTCATATATGGTGATGTTTCAGTTAAGCATTCTCTTTTTCACTGCATCTTGTTTGAAGTGTCTAATTCTAATGCAGAACTGAACTTGTATGTCGTTTTCTCTTTGTCGAGCTGTTGATCTGTGGATAGTAGCTGGTTCTGATTTGTTCCCCGTTCAATTCCGTGGATATTTTAATTTAATTAGTTTTATTTTTAGTTTCTGATATTGATTCTAGCACCAGCTCTGCTTTTAATCTGATAACTAGAAAACTAGTTCATGTTTTGGGTCTATGCAATGCCGAGTTTGGATTGGAGAAGTTGAAGGCCTTACACCACATGCTTCATAGATCATAGTTTTCGATCTCTAGCTTTGGTCTTATATTTAATTAAAATATACTTTCTAAAACTGCAGGCAGGTTTAAAAAAGAGAGAACGATTAGCTACGACTTGTATTCAGTTGATTTCGGTTAAGAACCTACAATAATCAGGCACACTATAGAGCCTGGAAAGTATAATGTAAACTCGGTCTCTAGCCGATATCAGTGTCGGCTGAGTATTTTCACAATCCTCCGAGTTGAATTTTTCATGGACAAATTCGACTGTGGCAACCGTGACACACGTGCTGTAAGTTTCCACTGACCCAAGATCACGAATGACAGCTCTTATGGATGCACAAGCGCGCTTTTAGCCTCAACAAGAACAATTATTACTGATTTTTTTTTTTTCAGTTGGACCTTGGATATGGCAATTATCTGCTTCTATCCGCCCGGCAGCTGGCATCCACTTAGTATACTGATGGAGGAGAAAATGGTGAGTATGAGTCCATTCGGCAATTCGTGGTGCAGTGATCATAGGGATTACACCTTGTGTGATCCCATATTTGAAGCTTTGTGTCCTGGTTTTAGCCAATGTCTCTTTTGAAACAAACTTAGCCTTCTCAATAACATGTTCCTCCAGGCAAAGGGGAGGCAAGGTTTTTAAGCTGGATGCTGTTTTGGAAGCAAGTGCAGTGAAATACGAGTAACATGTCTGATTAATGCTCGGGAATACGTATGCTGACCTGGCTGAATTAGGCTGCACTGGAGTGGCATGGAATATTCCTAGTTAATATGTTATGCAGTAAAGCTTCAGATAAAAGTGATTTGAGTGAATGCAATTATGGTTTCTGAAAAGAGCTTGTGGGAGCTAAAACCGGCTGGAAATTTTATCAGGATGCATTTTCCTATGCATTTACCTCTTTTCGGGCTCTTGGCTGGGCATATGTAGACCCTGGCCATTTTGAGACTGAAAATGAAGCCCATCCAGCTCTATATGTGAGTGGCACAGAATGGCTTGGTCAATTCAGTTCCCCATGGAATCTTTTATGTGGAGTATATAGACAAGATATTGATTGGAAAACAAAAGGATTACCTGGATTTAGTTTTTGTCTGAGGTTAGTCGTGTCTCTCTCTCCCAGACTAGTCTGAATAAACAATGTGGTAAAATGTGGCGAACAACAATGGAAATTTACAGACAAGAAAAACAGATTACATTCCCACTTGGTGCTTTGGGTTATTTTCACAGCAAGCAATTCATATTGTCATTATGAAGACCAGAGAACGGGTTTTGAAAGAAATGCTGGCAACAGACTGGTAAGAATGGCAATCTTTACAACTTCTCTCTTCTTTAAGCCAAACAGGATTCTAAAGAAAATAGATTTATGTGTTATTCCCTTCATTCTGTCTTCTTTCAGGCTATTTGTTGAGTTTGATTTGCTCTCTTGCTGGACCCACTGCTTCCAACAAGGATGAATATTGAATTGATAAAGATAATCCTTGAAGGATTATGGTATCACACCTTGATGGATAAGCAAAATGCACAATGTGTATATCTATGCTGCTGTTGATCATATCTTTCCCCATCTGTTTGCTGCAGCTTTTGCTTAGTCGAAAAATTGCAGAGGAAAATGTTTTGATGCATAACAAGGTTTGCCCTTTTCTTTCTTCTTCATTTATTTTTTCTCTTTTGTTTCTATGCGAGAACTTTGTGGACGTTAGCAAACAAGTGATAGGTATAGCATAGAGTTTTCGGGTTCATCACATAAACTACCCTACGGGTTTAGCTTAGTTACCAAAACAAGAATAAGAAAAACGACCAGCTATGTTTTAAATTGACAAATACTCCCATAAAGTTGGTAATGTTTTTCAGACAAAAATGGGTATTATCATAAATCAGTCCATGAAGACTTCAATCCAATGTGTTGGGTCAGGCCATGAAGCCAAAGGGCCATCACAATTGCCAGTCCAAGCAATCGGCCTAGTTCAAAGCTTACAAAACGACACTATTTGAGAGGTAACATTTCTTTTAGCATCTCATTTTCATCTCAATTTTCAGCTGCAACCAGCATGGTTTCTAATAATTCCTTCGATCGATATATCTTTATGTGATCTGAGGTCCGCATGCTGAGTGTGCTGATGAAATATTTGATTTTAAGTCTTTGATCTAAATAGCTTTTATGATTAATAGTGTAGTCACAGATGACATGCATGCAAATTGGTATGTTTTTTTTCTTCTTTGGTATCATCTGGTTTTGATTTTTGAGATTGTTAAGCGGCAAAGTTGCATAAGAAACACAGAACAAACACATGCAATAAAAGAGTTGGGTGTGATATTTTTTGATAAAAGGATAAAATATCTTTTTAGTTGAAAATATGGAGATGGTCTGATTTTTGTATAGAGTAAGTAGCCATTTATTCTATTTCCATNTTTTTTGATAAATTGACAAATTCGAAAGCTAGGCCCAGCAGATTCAGTTAATACACAAACACAAACATGCACAAACCCACTTGGAAATTTTCTCTTGTGTCAATAAGATGGGGTCGAATCAAGATGTGTCAATTTCAATGGCCCAACTTCTTCATTATGGATACGTATGGATTTATAGATTTAGAAAATAAAGATAGCTCAACTGATTCCAATTTATGAGGCATGGATATTATTTGACTCAAATTGATATATACAGTTGTGGTCGTATTAATTTAAGTATTTCTATCACTAGTCTGCTCAATAAAATTGATGGATATAATCTTTTGAAAGAAAATGTTACTATTCAAAGTAAAATGCTGTATAACTTCTCTAATAAAATTATGATTGTTAGGTCGAAATTAATTGGAACCATGAAAATCACCTGGCTTTTTAATTTTTGGATTTTGATCCCCTTATTCTATGAATTATGGGATCTCTGATTTGATATACAAACTTGTAAAGCTACTATTTTTGGATTCTTCAATTTCTTGAACTACTTTTGGATTTCTTTATTCTGGATACTTTCTATTCTGGATTTGACTTGCATGTCGATCCTTTGAAAGATAGTCGCGAGAGATAAACTCCACTCTACTGATTTGTTAATTACATTGCTCTCACCTGATTTTTTTTTTTCTTTTTTTAATTACAAAAGTTTGTGTGGTCCAATGGTAAAAATCTGACTGGTGTGTAAACGATTTCGACCCTATCAACGTCCTTCGACCCATCCTTGAATTAGTGAAATGTCCTATACAAAACAACCTCAAAGGTTGTCTCAGTGTATGCTCCGACAATATCAAGTCGATAATCGGGGATGATGATGTATTGTATCATATGTATATGAATCTAGAATATTGAGAGGATGTAGAGAGATGATGATCATACGTCACCCTCTTTTATATGTACACATGTTACATTGTTGCCAAAATCTGCCCGATCTTGCTACTCGAGTGCCCGAAGTCCTCGACCACATTGTGTGGGTGCCCGGATTGTCCAATTTTATTACCTACATGTCCTTACTTATGTGTTCTTATTCTAATTATACTCATACTTTTCTAGTGTGTTCACATTAGTCATTTATGTGGTGTGTTCACATTAATCTATCGCATTAAGTAGTTGTATGATTTTTATTTTATATATTCTTTTTATATTTTTTTTTTATGATTTGATTTGTTAGAACGTGCGTAGAGATACGCTTCCAGGGCCATTTTCAACTATGAGTAATGCTATTTAGCCAACTTGGATGACAACTTGAGTTACAACCCAAGTGTAAATTCATCATCAAGAAATTAAAAAATAATATATTTATACTTGAGTTGTAATCTAAGTTGTTACTCTTCAACTATGATATATTTGCATACAATAATTTTTTAAAATTTTTTAATATTTTAATTAAACTACTTTTTTTATAACGATAAACAAGTTTCAATATTTTAATTCAATCACTTTTTTTAACTCAAGTTTAACTTAATTCCACTATCATCAATATTATAAATATAATTAAATAATATCAATTAATCATTCGTACACACCACATCAACCTTAATTCACTATTCATCCACTCAATTATATTAATTAATCATTACTTCAAATCATCCCTCTCTTACTTTTACATCAAATCAATTTTAATTATTTTACTTTAAATATTATTTTAATATATTCACTACCAACTAACCGTATCACATTTTTCAAAATTAATCAAACAAAACTAAAAAATCCAACAAAATCAAAAAAAATTATATCCAAACATGCTCTAAGGCTTTTTAGAGTAGATCTAAATAGTCAAGTAAATTTAATTTTTTACCAAAATAGTGGGAGTACACTTTAAGGGCATGCTTGTTTATGAAATAATTCATTTCTCACTCAAAATTTAACTCAATTTTAACTCAACCCCACTATCATTTATATTATTTATATAATTAAATATTATAAACCAATCATTCTTACAGATCACATCAACTTTAATTCACTACTTCATCCACTCACATAATTGTAACTACCTATCATTTCCAATCATTTATATCCTACTTTTACATCAATTCATTAATAATCATTTCCAATCATTTATATCCCACTAACAATTAACCATACTACCTTTTTCAAAATTAACTCTAGTTAACTAAAATAACTCATTTTGAATGAAATATTTCATAAACAAGCACGCCCTAAGTAATTTTATGATCTTTAATGCAAGAATTTCAGCAATGTACTTCTAACCAAACCCAATTAAATTCAATTTTTGTTTTTGGTGTTTTGATAGAGTAATTTGCATACACATCACTGTACCCTTACTTTTCAATCCCTTTTATTTTCCTTCATAATAATTATCGCATTTTATTTTACACTAACATATACATTGTGTCTAGACCATTAAATAATGTGCACGACAATCGTATTTTAACAAAATATTCATTATTTAAGTTGGCTGGTCAACGCCTATCAAGTATCCAATGCAAGTGGCCGAGTAGTGGGATGTAAGATATAACATGGGACTATGAGAGCCACGTTTATTAGTTGGCCAACTACTCAGTAATAAAGCCAACTGTCGGCTCGTTTACGGAGCCAACAGTCAATGGGATAGCTGGAACTGTCTCACATTAGTTGGCCAACTACTCAGTAATAAAGCCAATTGTCGGCTCGTTTACGGAGCCAACAGTCAATGGGATAGCTGGAACTGTCTCACATTAGAGCAGCTGTCTCATTGGCTGTTGGTTCCTTAACATTACTATAGAATCAGTAACCGTTGGATTTTTTAATTTATGAGGCAGTCTAACTGTCAGACAATTTATCACATTTTTTAAATAAAAATATATTTGTATTGAGAAATGTTATACTTTTATATCTATTATTTTCTAAAATATACATGTTTATTAAACAGTATAACTGAGTAATAGTTAGATCTGTCTATAGTAGAAATGTTACTGTTTTGAATTTCTTATCCACGTATTCATCTATGCAGCTAAAAGTATGAAAATCACAAATTAAGTTCACCAATAATACATTGTTAAATGCTTAAGACTGAAAACTAGATTAGAACTTTTAAACATGAAATTCGGGGAAAATTCGATTATTACTTATGGACAATCTTTATTATGCCTGTAGGGATTCATCGCCACACTATTACATACACACACTACATCTCACATGGGCATGATGGATGGAATTTTCCATAATTCACATATAAGATTTTCTTATTTTTTATTTCACGTTTATACAACTTTAATTTAGTTCGTACTGTAAACCATGAACCGTGAAAAGGACTCATGAACAAATTTGGCTCGTGAAAGGTGTGACTGGATAAAGCTGTTTCTTGAATATAGTGGACAAAAGTACCCTTGAGCAAAGCTCCCACATTTCACCAAGGCTGTGTGTAAGAACAAAATAAAACAATCAAAGATAAAGAAAACTCACAAAGGCAGATTATTTGATTTCCAGTTTTCCACTATTAGTGTCTTTTCTATATAATTTTTTTATTTAAACTTCCTTGGACCCATGA